AAATTGCTACACTGACATCCAAAGGGGTTGTACCAGCTTGCATTCCCACCAGCAATGCAGGAGTGTTCCCTTTTCCCCACAACCTCTCCAGCACAAGTTGTCATCAGTGTTTTTGATCTTGGCCATTCTTACAGCTGTAAGACGGAATCTCAGAGTTGTTTTGATTTGCATTTCTCTGATGACTAAGGATGTCGAACATTTCCTTAAGTGTCTTTCAGCCATTTTAGATTCTGCTGTTGAGAGTTTTCTATTTAGGTCTGTACTCCATTTTTTTATTGGATTATGTGTTCTTTTGATGACCAGTTTGAGTTCTTTGTATATTTTGGAAATCAGAGCTCTGTCTTATGTGGGGTTGGTGAAGATCTTTTCCCATTTTGTAGGCTGTTATTTTGTCTTGTTGACTGTGTTCTTTGCTTTACAGAAGCTTTTCAGTTTCAGGAGGTCCCATTTGTTAATTGTTTCTCTCAGTGTCTGTGCTACTGGGGTTATATTTAGGAAGTGGTCTCCTGTGTCAATGCATTCGAGTATACTTCCCACTTTCTCTTCTATGAGGTTCAATGTGGCTGGCTTTATGTTGAGGTCTTTGATCCATTTGGATTTAAGTTTTGTGCATCGTGATAGATAAGGGTCTATTTTCATTCTTCTACATGTTGATGTCCATGGATTTTTTTCCCTCTGTTTTGATTTGGTTTGAGGATGTTTTGGTAGGGGTGTTGGAGACAGAACTTACCATGTGGCCCAACGTACTGGTGGGTACAAGAATTCTCCTGCCTCAGCCTGCTGAATGCCGAGGTTATAGTCAAGAGCTGCCATGACCAGGATGTCTTTCATTTTAAAAAAGCTTTAAAAGTATTTTAATTATGTGTACAGGGGGTAGCATATGCACGACTGTGGGTGGCCTTGAGCCCAGGGATCTCCCTGGAGCTGTAGTTACCAATGGTTGTAGATTTACAGGTGGATATCGGTACTGGGCAGTGAATTCATGTCCTCTTCCCAGCGGTGCGTGCTCTTAATCCATGAACCGTCTCAGCCCCATTAAAAGTTTTTTTTTATACTTTATTTTTATTTTATATACATTGGTGGTTTTGCCTTCATGTGTATCTGTGTGAGGGTGTCAGAATCTCTGGAGCTACAGTTGCAAGCTGCTATGTGGGTGCTGGGAATTGAACCTTGGTCCTCTGGAAGAGCAGCCAGTGCTCTTAACTGCTGAGCCATCTTAATTACTGTTTTTAATTGATTGGGGGCAGACCTGCCATGGTGTACGTGTGGAAGTCAGAGGGCAACTTTTGAAAGTTGGTTTCCTCCTCCTACAGTGGGGGTCCTAGAAGTTGAACTCAGACTGTGAGTCGTGGTTGCAAACGCCTTTACTCTCTGAGCAGGAGAGTTGTCACCTGCTCCGTCTGTCTCTTTTTTTTTTTTTTTTTTTTTGGTTTTTCGAGACAGGGTTTCTCTGTGGCTTTGGAGCCTGTCCTGGAACTAGCTCTCTATACCAGGTTGGCCTCGAACTCACAGAGATCCGCCTACCTCTGCCTCCCGAGTGCTGGGATTAAAGGCGTGCGCCACCACCGCCCGGCTGTCTTTTTTTTTTAAATGACAAAATTCTGTAGTGATAGTTAATTTAAGTCTTTTTTTTTTTTGAGACAGGGTTTTTTGGGCAGTCTTGGTTGTCCCGGAACTCACTCTGTAGACCAGGCTGACCTCAAACTCACAAAGATCTGCCTGCCTCTGCCTCCCTGAGTGCTGGGCTTAAAGGTATGCACCACCACTGCCCAGTTGACAGTTAATATAAATTTTCTAATTTTTCTGACTGTTGATTTCCTGTGAATTGGGATATAGATGAGTGTTTCAACTAGAAGTAGAGATGCATCTTGTGTCCTTTTAAGCATACTATAACATGCAGGGATTCACCGTGACCGGACTATAGCCATAACTACTGTGGTCTGGTGTCCTCCCTTTGTTCCCCATTGGATGATGTGAAGCTTTAGACCCTGCGCCTGGTGCCAACAGTGCCAGGAACCATCTTGACATCTTTAATATTAGCTTGAGAAAAGCAGGCATTAGCTTAAATTGTGTTTGTCCTCACTCCAGAAGCTCCTTTCTGCTCGCACAGATTGGGGGGGGGGGTCCACTGGTCTTGTTGCTACCCACAAACATGCTTTTGGCAGTCTGGAATCCTGCTTTGTCTGCCTTTTTCCGGGGTCTCATGGCATTTGCAGCCTGTCCACACACCATGGTTCTTTCTCCACATGATGGCTATGCACCAGTAATTTAATACTGATTGCAACAGCAGGAGAATAAGAAATTAGCCCTAAAGTTATTAGTCTTGTGTTAGACCAGTTGTTCAGAGAATTGAGGACAATGGAAATGACTTCAATAGTCAATATTTAAAAACAAGGCAAAGTAAGCTGGGTATGGTGGCACACACTTTTAATCCCAGTACTTGGGAGGAAGAGGCAGATCTCTGAGGTCCGGGACATCCAGGGCTACAGAGAGAAACCCTATCTGGAAACAAAAGATACAAAGCAAAGTGGGTGAAGGGAAATGCCCTTCTGCACTTGCAGGACCTAGAAATGGGATCTGCAGTTAGATATTACCTCAGTTTGTCAACTTTATACAAGCTAGGACCTGGGGAAGTCCTTCAACTGAGAAAATGCCTCTGTCCTGCTAGCCTGTAGGGAAGACAGTAAGGCATTTTCTTGATTGATGATTGATGTGGGAGGGACCATCCCACTGTGGGTGCTGCCACTCCCACCCCACTTCTGTCCCCAGGGCAGTATCCCGAATGATGTAAGAAAGCAAGCTGGGCAAGCTCATGGTACTGATCTCTGACCTCTGCTTCAGTTCCTGCCTCTAGGTTCCTGCCTTGGCTTCCCTGATGATGAATGGACTGTGACCTGCAAGCCAAATAAACGTTTTCTTCCCCAGGTTGCTTTTGGTTACAGTGTTTATTACAGCCATAGCAACCTAACTGGGACAGCTTAGCAACTGTCTTACCAGGGACTTTCCTGTGGCCATGTGAACTCTGAGAAGGACATTCTGAGAGCAAGGTTCTCTGGGTGGCTGGCACTCAGTAAATGCTTCTCCCCATAGCAAATGATGAGACTGGGACCTCTGTGGTCTAAGACATCTGCTGGCCTTGGGCTGTATCTGCTGGCCAGGCTGTATGAGTTTTCTTCAGCTGGCTGGGCTCAGAAAGAAAACAGTTGTACTGACAAGGGAATAAATGACAACCATTTGATTGAGCTCCCTTGACACTGAAAAAAATCCCACCAAGAGAGTGGCGGTGGCACACGCCTTTAATCCCAGCACTCAGGAGGCAGAGTCAGGCAGATCTCTATGAGTTTGAGGACAGCTTGGGCTACAAAGCAAGTTACAGGACAGCCAGAGTTGTTATACAGAGAAACCCTGTCTCAAAAAACAAAAACAAAAATCCTATTGAGAATGCCACTTACTATAAAGCCAGATGCTTGTGTGCATTTGAGGGCTTCTTTGCTTTTTAAAAGGGCAGACGGGGCTCACTAAGATGCCTGATGACCTGTTTTTGATCGGACCCACGTGGTGGAAGAGAACTGACTCCCTCTGACCACATGAGCATCATGACGAATTCTGCTTAGACCCTGAAAAAGCCAACCAGGCAAGGGACAGGTGGTGCATGACAAAGAATTTTATTGATGAGCTAGCTGCTCACAAAATGACCAGGCAGAGGACAGTGCTGCTTGGAATTGGATTATTTTCTAGAAACAGGTAACTGGAGACCGGTGGCACGTTCTCATGGGTGATGTCAGTGACCAGGTATGCAGACCTGACCTCATTACTGGTCACAGATGTTTTTCAGCTCTGCAGATCTCAAGAAAAACAGTAATTGTTTTTGTCCAAATGACTGTTTCTTCAGGTTGTCCTTACTGGTTAGTTGCGTAGAGTTCCTGGCATATTACGCAGTGGACAGACTAGACGGGTAGCTGCCCAGAGGCCTGTTCTGGCCCAGCAAACACATAGTGGTAGCACAGTACTTTGGAGGCAGAGGCAGGTGGATCTTTGAGTTCAAAGCCAGCCTGGTCTACAGTGTGAGTTCCAGGACAGCCAGGGATATACACAGGGAAACCCTATCTTTTCTTTTTTGTTTTGTTTTTCGAGACAGGGCTTCTCTGTGGTTTTGGAGCCTGTCCTGGAACTAGCTCTTGTAGACCAGGCTGGTCTCGAATTCACAGAGATCCGCCTGCCTCTGCCTCCCAAGTGCTGGGATTAAAGGAGTGCGCCACCACCGCCCGGCTGAGAAACCCTATCTTGAAAACAAAACCACTTCACCTGATTACTGTAGAAGAAAAGGCCAGGCAGAGTTAAATATGAAGCCAGGCATACTGAGAGGAAGGAGGAGGAGAAGGAGAGAGAGGGAGGCAGAGGACCCCCTGTGTAGTATATGAGGGGGACATTGAATCTCAACGAGGACCCAGGTCTCAGTTTCTGCCCTTCCACGTGATCAATGTGGCTACCTTAGGAGGGCTCAATGTGGAACTTAGACTTTCTGCTCCCTCCCCTTCCTCATCTTCCGAGAAACCTGTGTGGAGTGGATCAGCCAGCAGGCCTGGTCTCTTGGCAAGGAGAACCCGGAGAGGACCTGGGTTCTGTCCTTGCAGCGACAGCTTTCCCACGGTGACTTCTCTGGCAGGTGGTTAGGGCATGACTTATGGAAGCAGGGGCTGAGGCTGCGTAGTCTGTTCTGTGTGGCCACTGCCAGGTGAAAGTCCAGTTCTTACACTCTCAGTCCGTGGGGCTTTCTTCCAGGGCGACCACACACACACACACACATCACACATGTGTGCTGTTACATTCAAACACAATGAGGAGCCTGGGAGGAAGCGGCATTATACATGGGGCTCCAAATGCCGGCATGTACCTCGGTGGGGGGTGAGCCATGCAGATATACTGGCTTTCCACATCCCTGGGGGCCTGTGCCTTTGACCCACAGATGAAGCTATAGACTGAGAACCTGTCTTCCGCAGCCCGAAGCTTGCTGCTGTTCTTGGATCACAGCCCGGAGAGACAGCACGGGGGCACCGCCAGCTCTGAATGTTGAAATTTCTAAGGTCCTGCAGGTAGAGTGTGTGGCTCCTCCCAAGGAGAACCAGGACATGGGGGAGAGGGAGGGTCCTAAAAACCAGGAGACTTGGGGCCAACTCTTGCTATGGCTGGAACAGTCTTGCACAGAGATCCTGCTGGTCACTTACAGAGTTGGCATGAAAGGTGCTCATGTTGGTCCCATCATTTGTCTTTTCCATTGCTTTCCTCTCTGCTCTGCACTGCAGAGCTGCCCTCAGACAACCTGAAAGAAGTTCGTTCAGCAAGTGGGAAGAGCATCCTCCTGTCATGGCCACCTGCAGCAGATGCGGTGCCTGAGCATCACCCCTGCAGCTGCGGTAGATGCATCACCCCTGCAGCTGCTGTAGGTACGGTGCCTGCGCATTGCATTGCCCCTGCAGCTGCGGTAGGTGCGGTGCCTGCACATCGCATTGTCCCTTCAACAACATTGCCCTCCGTTCAGCTGCAGTTTTCCACTCGCCCCAGATGCCTGCTTTTGTCTCTTTAAGCTCAATGCTGGGGACAACTGCTCCACCTCTGGTGTGTTGACCTGGCCTGAGGAAGCTGCAGTTCACACCCCCTCTCTAATGCCCGCCATCTGTGAAGTGGCTCTGGACAAACTGTCCTTTCCTGGTACGTACGACCAATGCCCTGCCTGGACCTGACCAATCTAGTGGTTGTTACCTCATTAAACCCTTTGAGATGCCAGCTTAAGAGGTCATTCAACACAGGACGGCCCCCACCATTCGCCAGAATGATGCTTCCCTTCTCTGAAGATATCCAGCCACTCAGGGAGGTGAAATTAGAACCCGGGTCTCCTACCTCCCATGGCTGGGCATGCGCCTTATGTCTGGGAAGGCAGTGAAGTCTGGGGTGGAGGGAAGGTTCAAGCAAGAGGGGCTTGAATCCTCGTGGTGGCAAACATTCACCATGGTAGTGAAGCATCCTGGCACCACCAACCTATCTAACCACAAGCCTGAGCCAAGAGCATGGTGTCAGCTTCCCTTCCCACCACAGCCGTGACAAGTAGAGACACACTGCGGGCAACAGAAGCAACGGTGGCCCCTTCTGTGGGCGACTTTCAGCTTCTCTCTTTCCACCCTTCCACCAACGTACGATCACTACCACTGCTGGGAAGCCACAACGGTTTTCCTACTGGCTACTCACTGCTACAGGATCATTTTCTGTCCTGAGCTGGGGTGCTCCTAGAGGCCAGAGGTGTCACAGCTCCTGGAGCTGCAGTTACAGGCGGTTCTAAGCCACCTAATATGGGCGCTGAGGACCAAGCTACTCTGGAAGAACAGTGCTTGTAACTGCACAGCCATCGCAATTCTACACTATGGCCAGAAGATGGCAGTATGAAGCCAGACACCAGCCATGGGACGGCACATTCCTTTTTCTGCAGGTTCTCTGTGGGGTAGACAACTCATAGGTCTCAGGAACAGGTCCTCCAGATGATCCAAGCACTTCTGCCTCCCCCAATCATCTTGCAGCCAAGGAAGAAATTTTCTTTCAAACACCACCTTCAATTTCTGGTAAGTTTGGAATGGGATAAACTATCACTTTTTTTTTTTTTTTTAAAGATCCCTGTCTACCCTTGACTGGTTTAGAATTAACTGTGTAGACCTGGCTAGCCTTGAACTCGGAGTGACTGTCCTACCTCTGCCCCTCAAATGCTGGGACTACAGGTATCCACCACTATGCCTGGCAAGAACAGACACCTTCTTAAAATAATAAACTGGGCAGTGGTGGTGGTGTACCACTTTAATCCCAGCACTCAGGAGGCAGAGGCAGGCGGATCTCTGAGTTCTGAGACAGCCAGGGCTACACAAAGAAACCCTGTCTTGAAAAACAAACAAAACAAAAATAATGAGCTTTGCCTATGTGCCTGCCTGGTGCCCACAATAGCTCTCCTGGGCCTGGAGTAGCTACCATGTGGGTGCTGGGAATAAAGCCTGGGTCTCCTGCAAGAGCAGCGAGTGCTCTTCTCTGCTGAGCAGGCTTCTGAGATCCAGCCGGGCCTGGTGGCGCTGAGCTGTCATCTCTGTAGTCAGGGGGCTGAGGCAGGAGCAATACTGTGAAAACCAGGCTAACCTAGGCCGAGACCCTTCCTAAGAAAATCTGCATGTAGGTATGAGAATTTATCAAGACTTGTAGTCATGGGAAAGTGTGTCAGTGAAGTACCCACAGAGGCCAGAAGAGGGCATCAGATTCGCCGGAAATGGAATTTAAGTGGTAGTCACCTAATGTGGTTGGGAGGAACAGAACTCAGGTCCTCTGAAAGAGCAAGTGCTGGTAACCACTGTGGTCTTTCCAGCTTTTATCTTTGACACAGGATCCTGAAGAAAGATGAAGCCATGAACCCCTGCCTTAGCAGACCGGGGGTGGGTGTGCACTTTAGTGTCTTCTCTGCCAGTAACACAGGCACTGGTGGGCACTGCTGCCCGGGGAAAGACAAGGTGGGTCTACGCTGTGGCCCAGCATAGTCTAGACTGGACATCAGTCAGTGGTCTCCTGTGCTCTTGTCCCTTTCCAAGGTTCAAGGTGACCTCGGTGCTCATCAGCACAAATCCAGGTGTTACACACCCACAAGCACCATTCTTTAGTTAAAATACACACACACACACACACACACGAGTGTGGTGATTCACACCTTTAGTTCAGCTGCAGTATGACGGAGTTCAAGGCCAAGCTGGTCTGCTTAGCAAGTTCCATGGCAACCAGAGAGAAACAGTGAACCCCTATCTTGAAGAATTAAAAATAAATATATGTAAAATCCAGACAATTACTCCAATATTTAAACTGGTGGAAAGTGAGATACAAAGGGCCTTTGTGCACTAACAAGTCCGTGAAAAACAACGAGAGCACACCTTTGCAAACTTGGAGCGAAAGGGGGAAGACCGACCAAACTAAAGCGGGCTTCGACCCAAGTGAGCCATCGCCAAGTCCTGTTGGCATGGGCACGGCCATTCTTGGCCACGGTGTTTGAGTCAAGACTTAGCTTCCTATCGTATGTGGTAAGGTTTTATTTTCACGACATCTTTTATCACAGTGTTCTGTGAGGCTGAGACATGAATGATTCAGAGCATCTTCAGGACTCGCCCTTCCCGTGAGTGCACGCCCAAGCATGCCGGTACTCGGCCTTCCTCCCCAGGAACCCCAAAGACCGCAGAAGCAAGCCTGGAGCAGAGGTGCAGCTCTCTCCCCATGTTGATTCAAGCTGCCTCCCTCTCTGTGCCTGTCTGAAGTCTAGCCAAGACCTCATTCAACCCCATGGTCAGCCCTGGGAGAGGCAGAGACTCTGAGTGAGGATAGAATCTGGACTAAGACAGCTATTATTAGTACTGAGGTTCGCAGCTCCCAAATGCGGACCCGACTGCTGACCCCATCTGTGGATGTGGCTCCCACATCGGACCGGCATGGGCAAGACGGGATGTTAGCGCTGACAGAAACAGCAGCTGTGGTTACCACTGGAATGAAAACCAACATGGCTCCTGCTCTCTTGAAGACAAGGACTTTGGAGATGACAAAGAAGGCCTCCTCTTGGAAATGTATCAGCCCATCTCTTCAAACCTTCAGGTAAGACCCCAAAGGTGGCTGGCCAAGGGGGTGCTCTCTGAGGACACTAAAGCCCTCACCTAGTGGGGCCCAGGGCACTTCCCACCTCCAGCTCTGCTGATCCAGGCAGACACCTCAGTACATTGGTCTTGAAGCTCACCGGCAACTTCAAACAGGAAAATGCCATGCAAATGGGCCACCTCACAGGCAGGTGGTCGGCTTTGAGCCCCTGCCTTAAGGTACCTCACCACGGACAGCAATCTGGAAATCCAGAACCAGGGCCATAGACAAGGACCCTTGATACCCACGGTGCCTGCAGTCCCTTTTAAAGATGCCACACTTTCTCAATCCCTTTCAGAATCATGGACCATGAGTGGAGACATGAGCACAGCCTGCAGACAAGGTGCAGCCCTTGACGATGGAGAACCTGCCCTCCCCGTCCGGCCCCTGCTCTCCCTGAGTCCTATCATGCTTCAAGTTCTCTTTTCCAGGAAGCAGAGCCTGCCACCTGACAGTGTAAGGCCTTTCATAGGGGTCGGGAGACCCTTCAGAATGTACTGTGCCCATGTCCCCAACAGTTGCCAGTTAGCAAAAGGGTTGGTGAGTTCCCGGTCAGACTCCACACCACGTGTTATCCTTTCACGACGAGCTGCATCATGGGTGAGCCACTGCTCTCCCTCCCCACCAGCCTCCCAGAAGCGAGGGTGGGCCTGAGGCACCATGGCTGTTGAGGCAGCAGCAGCCTGGAAAGGCATTTTTTTTTTTTTTCCTTTTTCCTCTCAGGCCTTGCAATTGGCACCAGGGAACAAAGACAGAGGAAGCTAAACTGAGGCCAAGGAGGATGGACGAAGAGGACAGGAAGTAGGAGGGCTCTCTTCCTTCGGCTGTGAGAACTCATGGGACACAGGCCAGCGCAGAACAGTACAGTGTCCCCAGGGGCCCGAAGGCTCTACCAGACATTCTCTGGAAACCCTAAGTCCCCAGCTCCCTGTAGGCTGGCGTCACCCAGGAAGGATGTCAGAGTCAACAGGCTTGGGGCAGGCCTGGTACTACCCACTGAGCCACTAGGTCCTAGGCCTACAAGGTGGGCCCAACGGGGCTGAAGCCAGCAGGAGACTGGGAGCCACCTTTCATTAACCTCTGCTTGTCAGTCACTACAGGCATCTACGAAGGTGGCTCCCCCTTGAGATTCCAGGGCTGCCCAGGAAGGTACAGCAGGCCAGGACTCCCTGGTCCCCTATAGATCCGTGACCTTGTTTTCCACGGCAGCAGCGATCTGCTGGAGCCGGTAAGCCAGCTGCATCTTCTGGGCAGTGCCGTCCTCCTCCAGGGCAGTGATGATCTGGAAGACAGAAGCAACAGACTCAGGGGAGACGTCTCTGAACCCCACGATGACTGCAGGTGGACTTCAGCCCAAGGGCTGTACCGCAGTCAGGGGTAAGTACAGAGAAATCCAGTAAATCACCTCACTTACTGTCAGGGTGAAAATAGAACAAAGTCACCATGGCTTGCTTTTCTAGGGTTTTATTTTGGGGAAGGTCTCGGTGAGGCCTTACACAAACTTCCAGCCTCTGGTGCTGAGAATAGAGTCCAGCGTCACCACACGGAGATGCTAAAGACCAGGCAGTTGGAGACTGGCATATTTTACTCATTACTTAACGTTCTTTCCCGGCCCAGCTCATTTCATGTAGGATCCAGCCTTACACACGCACTGGCCTTCCCGCAGGTCTGCTGCAGCCATCCCCACTGCCCTGCCTGCCAGCTAATGGCATTTCATGAGTCTTATGTGCCAAGACCAGGAGGATATGGTATGTGATTCTACTGGAAACTCATAGGATAACTAACAGGTACTCAGAACAACAGGCCTGCTCAAGAGAGGACCCAGAAGAACCCCTCCATGACTTTGCTGTACCTCACTCATTCATTCTTTGGTTCCAGAAGCCCAGCCCAGTCTGTACCCACAGAAGTGGTAATATCTGGGACAAAGCCAACCCTGGAATCTTCAAGGGATGGCAACTAAGTGGTCTTCCAGCACATCCCACACACAAGCTCCAGATCCTAGCAAATTCTCTAGGTAGCCCCAACCACTACTACCATGTCTGGAAGCCATACTGCAGGACCAGGATGGGGAATTGTAGGGATAGGGAGAGAGGAGCCAACATCACTGAACCAGTCTATGGAGCCCCCCTCAGTTTCCCAAGGGGCACACAGAGAGCAAAGTCCGCCTTGCAGTCGGGGCCCAGGGTGTGCTCACCTGGTCATAGTATTTGTTGATATACTTGTAGAGTTCATGCAGAGCCACGCGCGCCCCAAGGTCACCAGAGTAGTTCTGGGGAAGAGGGCAAATAAAAAGGGAGAGAAATGAGAAGGAAACGGGGGGAAAGAGACCCAGGACCCCAGAGAAGGATGAGAGCAGAGAAAGGGACCTGAAAAAGAATGGGTCCTGTGATGGGAAGCCTCTCTACAGGGCAGGGACCCAAGATTACAGCTCAGGCCAAGGCCAAAGACTTCCATGGTAGGGAGAAACCCCAGGACTAGTTTCTGCAGGGCTGGAGTTTGTGCTGGAACCCACCTGCCTCTCCCAGGTAAGGCTAGAGCTAGATAGTCCTCCCATTCATCCCAGGTGACTTCAGGGCCATGGGACTGGCTGGGAACTCCATGTCATTTTGCTCTGATCTTACTCAAACGTGTCCTGAGACCAGTCCAAAGTCTTACACGAGAACATCAGATCCTCAGCCTCTTTCTCTGGACAGTAATGGCTGATTCAGCCTCAGTAACTCATGGAGATCTTAGGGGATCCAGGGCAGAAGCACACCCCCATGAAGGGCTTGGCACAGCTATCATTGGTAGTGTGAGTGTCCTTGTAACCATTTAAGGAACACTGTCCATAGCTCCTAATGTCCTCACGTGGGTGCTACGGGTGTCACATGGTAGCAGAACAGTGGGCAGTGTGGGCAGCTGACTCAGAAGGCCCAGAGCTGAACCCCACCTACTCCACAGACCCTAGCAAGGGCTACAACTATACAAGCACCTGCTTAGATCAGTTAGGTGACAGCTATCAAAACAAAACCCCTGCTCACTCTGAGATGCCAGGATGCCTGGCCTTTTGCAGTAACACCGGAACACACTGTCCATATGGTGACAGGGTGTCTGTCCTCTCCCAGACAGATCACAGAGGTATAGAGGTGACCAGGGCTTTTTTATATTTGAGATGTATGAAGGGAGGCCTTACCCGGGACAGCTCGGCTAGGACCGAGTTCATCTCTTGGTCACTGGCCGGGACGGTCTGTCTGATGTCTGTATAGTATCTGCCAGAAAGCCAGGGACAACAGCTGCTAAATAAACCATTTCCTTGGTGCCACCAGGGCTCACCTAGGGCTTCAGCTGCACACACACCTCCACGCCTCCCCAGACCCACTTCCTCCCTGGTACCTTTCCACCATCTGTTTGTAGCGGGGAATATCTCGGGCATACAGAAGCTTGTTGATGGGAGAATCCTAGACAGCAGCAGAGAGGAAGGGTCAAAGTTCAATAGCGTGATCAGCACACAGGGTCCAACCAGCACCAGTTTTATAACTAAACGACCCACATCCCAGGACCCTCTTAGCAACCAAGAAACCAGGATTATTGGTCACCCTAGCCTACTTTTTTGTTTTTACATTTTATTTTTTGTATGGGCAGAGGACAACTTGTAGGAGCTGGTTCTCTTCTTACACCAGGGATTGAACCAAGGATTGAACCAGGTCATCAGACTTGGCAGCAGGCGCCATTACACCACAGCCCTGGCCCGGGGACCCCATGTCAGAAGACTGAGCTGTGACTCCTAGGACATTGTCCCACCTCTGGTGTTCTGCCCACAGCCTCTCCCCAGCATGCTGCTGGCTCTTCCCCGGACTCTCATCAGTGGTGTGAAAGGAAAAGACCTCCAACACCCCAAGAAACCAAACCTGCCAGGCATCTGGAGGGATTGCTCTAGGACTGGGGAATCCTGACTCCACCAGGGACCACTAGTGACCCCCTGCAACTCCTCAAGCTCACCCCCAAACCTGAGCTCACCATAGTCTTGGGGCCTGGAGTCTTGCCTCACCCTTCAATATCCCACACTGCTAATCCACACCTGTACCAGAGCTGGCCTCTGCCAGACCACAGGCTAGGCCACCACCTACAGGTAACTGCCAGGAGTTGTTGCTGAATCGCATGGCTTACTGTGGCTACCACTTGCCCTGATGGTGATCCCTGATCAAGTGGTACTGCTACACATGACTGTACGTCAGTCTGTCACCACATCCACCCCAACTATATGAGGCTACACCTACTGCCATCTCAAGTCTGAGCTGATTCAGGTGCCACACCGCCTCCCCTCCTATCCCGAGACTGACTACGGCCACCTTCTGAAGAGACTTTAGGATGAGGCCTGGTGTGAGAATGCCTTAGGTTAATGGCTGCTCCCCCAAGCATCATCACCTTTCCAACTATGTCAGGAACCTGAGTTCTGTGCATCCGACACTGTCCACACCCACCTGGGTAGCCCCCTCCTCCCTTGTCATGTCCCAGCCTGCTCACCCTGCCCAGTTTGTGGTCGGCCAGGGTGCAGGCATCCATGAAGGTCTGTGCAATGACGAGGAGCACGGCGTCCATGTTATCGGACGTCTGCACGTCAAACACAAACTGGGGGTTTTTGATGATGTTGATCCAGAACCTCAACGGCAGGCTGCAAGTTGGGGAGAAGGGGGCCGGTAACTATGCTGGGGGGCCAGGAGGCCCTCACATCTGTCCTGAGCCCTGCTCCTCCCACACCTGTTGGTCTTCCAGATGTGGATGGTATCCTGGTCAGAGATGCCATGCTGCTGAGCCTGTTCATCCAGCAAGTCAAAGAAGTACTTGACAGCTAGAGGCACGGGGCGGCTGGTGCTGAGGATCACCTGGAACAGGTCATCCACAAACTTCTGCAGTGTACCCTGCGGGAAGACAAAGAGGCTCAGAGCCCAGGCAGGGAGGATACCAGCAGCCACTCCCTTGTACAGGCTCCACACCACCCACCCCCACGTCCTCTGGGTAGCCGTTCTTCCTAAATAGCCCAGACCTACCTTCATGGACAGCAGGCGTGTCAGGTAGATCTCAGGAATGGCCTTGGCTCGCTCACGTTCCCCACTCCGAAGGCTGCCCCTCCGCGGCCTGGGAGGCTCTGGCTCCTCACTTGGCTTTACCAGGTGCCAGGGCCGGATGCCCCCCTCATCTACATCCTCTAGCATTGGGGTCCCTGTGCCAAGATGTAAGAGTTGGGTACTCCCCCAGGAGTAGGAGCACCTGGCTGGGGCTCCTCTGAGAAAAAGAGACACAGGTTCTCCCTCAGTCTGAAGGGCTTTCCCTGCTACCCAGGACTGGACAAAACTAGTGCCCACAAAGGGAGAAGGTGGGTACTCACGTTCTCCAGGGACATAATCCTGGTTTTCCCTGAGAACATGCTTTGTAAGGCAGGGGACAAGGGCCACCGTTGCTCCGTCTGGGACCT